TTTTATTATATTTCTAGAGGTGAAGTGGTCGTATTAATTAAATCAAACCGAAGTTATCTAGTCGTACTTTTTACGACCAAGTTGTCTCTATGGTTCAAGAGTCGAGGGTATATGGTTGTACATTTTACCTCGATTTAAATACTATTTTACGTCGAGTTTGACTTCTGCTTTACGACCAACTGTTACGACCAATTAACATCTAACTGTGTGGACGTAAATTTACGTCAAATCCACATCTAGAGTATGACTACCTATTTTACATCTGTCTTACGACCAAATTCATTAGTCGTAATATTTAAGTCTACCTTACGACCAAAAGTTAATTACGACGGACTAATAACGACTAAATGACTTTCGTTGTTATATGGTCGTAAAAGTCCATTTACGACCAAATAACCTTTAAATGTGTGGTCGTTATGCCCACGTTTTCTTGTAGTGATCGTATTTCTTCTCTGATACAATGTCAAGAGAATTGCACAATGATGAATGTTCTCTTGTATTTACTTTAAGGCCAATCAACCTGTTTATATATTACATGTTCTATATAACCTTGCTTCCAACATCAGTGCCGGCTTTGTACAGGTGCACAAGGTGCAGTGGCACAGGGTCCAGAAAATTTTAGGGCCCATAATTTATAAGTTTTACCTTAATCAAACCTTAATACATATAATTATGATAAGTAAAAACGCCATGTTATATTTGTAAAAGGCCCACAAAAACATGACAAAAGCAGTACCTCTAATTATATAATTAAAAAAAAAATCTGCCGTCTCTCACCTCTACGTTTCAGCGGTCGATGGGCAAAATATGGAGATTTCAACTTTCAAGATCTGGAGGTAACCGATAATCCATTAAACAAAGCTTTTATCTTTTATCCTAATTTGAATTAGCCGTTTGTGATTTCCTTTTTTTTATAAATACATGATTCCTAATTATATCAATTTAAATTACAGATTTTCCTAATTTTCTTTCCCTGTGTCACTTGTTTTTCTACACGCAGTCTATCAATACATTGGCAAAAGAAAATTCAGAACACTTACCTCTTACAAGATTGCAGTTGTGGCCATTTTCTTTCTTCCTCCATCTTCACGAACCACACCAATCCAGGTTCTATTGTTTCATTACCTAGTTTTTTAATTGACACTAGATTAGAATTGTTAATTGAAAGTTTAAATATGTCATCTGGTCATGCTAAAAGACAAAAAAAAGAACATATAGAAAATTTCATTAGGTCACAAAAAGGATCTATGGATAAATTTGTTGTGAAAGAAAGACATGAAAAAGAAAAAGATAATGATATTGATATTGGTGGGTCTAGTTCTCATGAGAATATCAATAATATAGATACTACACAAGTTTTGGATACTTCTAAAATCCTTGAAAAAGATGATATTGGTGCTGCTAATTTTGTTGATATATATGATCCAAGAAATTGGGATATGCTTAATATAAAATTGAGAGAAACATTAGCAATAAATGGACCAAAAAGAGATTTGTCTATTATAAAAGGTCCTAAAATCAAGGTTCGTAGAAGATTTTTTTCATCTTGTTATACTAGAGAATTGCCTAATGGAGAAACAAGTGATAGAAAATGGTTAGTTTATTCCAAAGATTTAGATAGAGTTTTTTGTTTCTGTTGTAAGATTTTTAAGAAAGGTATTAAAAAAAGCCAGCTAGCTAAAGATGGTCTTTCAGATTGGACTCATATACTTGTTAGATTAAAGGAACATGAAAAAAGTAAGGAACATATGCTTAACATGAGTGCTTGGATAGAATTACGACATAGATTTAAGAAAAATGAAACTATTGATAAAGTTGCTCTAGAAAAATTTAAAAAAGAAAAAGAATATTGGAAAAATGTATTAATTAGAATTATTGCTATTGTGAAATATCTTGCCAAGCATAACTTGGCATTTCGTGGAACACATGGAAAGTTATATGAAAATAGTAATGGTAATTTTTTAGGATTAATAGAGATGTTAGCAGAATTTGATTGTGTTATAAAAGAACATGTTTTTCGGATTACTAGTGGTAGTATTCATCATCATTATCTTGGTCATAATATTCAAAATGAATTAATTCTTTTGATTGCTTCAAAAATTAAATAAAAAAATTATTACTAGAATAAAAGAGGCAAGATATTTTTCAGTGATACTGGATTGTACTCCTGATGCTAGCCATCAAGAGCAAATGATACTAATTCTAAGGTGCGTTCATTTTTCCTCAACCTCTTATAAGGTAGAAGAGTATTTTGTAGAATTTTTAATAGTAGATGACACAACTGGTCTAGGACTTTTTGAAGTGTTAAAAGATGTATTAAAATCTTTAGATCTTGATTTAGATAATGTGAGAGGTCAAGGTTATGACAATGGATCAAATATGAAAGGACATAAACAAGGTTTACAAAAAAGATTTTTGGATATAAATCCTAGAGCTTTTTATACACCATGTGCTTGTCATAGTTTAAATTTGGTCTTGTCTAATATTGCAAATAACTCTATGAAAGTCAAAGATTTTTTCGGTGTGGTGCAACGTTTATATTCTTTATTTGCTAAGTCTGTAAAAATATGGGATATATTGAAAGCAAATGTTAAAAATTTCACTCTTAAGCAATTGTCAACAACTCGATGGGAAAAGCCGTATTGAAAGTGTTAAAGCTATAAGATTTCAGATTATAGATATAAGAGAAGCTTTACTTGAAGTGAGTGAAAATGATAATGATCCTTTGATTCAAAGTGAAGCAAAGTCTTTAGCAATAAATGAACTTAGTAGCTTTGAATTTGTATTATCTAGTGTTATTTGGTTTGATATACTGGTGAATATGGTTAGCAAAAAGTTACAGTCAAAAGATATGCAAATTGACGTTGCAATGACTGAGGTAAGTGGACTGATTTCTTATTTTGAAAAATATAGAGAAACTGGTTTTGGTAATGCTATGATGAAAGCAAAAGAAATTGCTAATGAAATTGGTATTGAACCGGTTTTTATTCAAAAACGTATTATTCGTAGAAAAAAACAGTTTGATGAAACTAGTGATAATGAAACTATATTGTCTGTAGAAGAAACATTTAGGATTGAATATTTTTTTGTATATAATAGATCATGCCATTAGTTCTCTTGATAAGAGATTTGAACAATACAAATTATATGAAAATATTTTTGGTTTTTTATTTGATTCTACTAAACTGAAAATGTATGATGATGATACTTTAAATTCTTGCTGTAGGTTTTTAGAAACTAGTTTAAAAGCTGAGGATTCAACATATATAGATGGAGATGAACTTTTTCTTGAACTTAAATTTCTTAAAGAACTTTTACCAAATAAAAAAATGGGTGCATGTGATGTTTTGAATTTTCTTGTAGAATTTGATAGTTTTCCTAATACTACAACTGCATATAGAATTTTACTTATTGTTCCTATTACTGTTGCTTCTGAAGAAAGAAGTTTCTCCAAGCTGAAACTTTTGAAGTCTTATCTAAGAGCATCTATGTCACAAGAAAGATTAAGTGGATTAGCTTTAATAGCAATTGAGAACAATTTTTTGGAAGAAATAGATGTTGAATCTTTAATTGATGATTTTGCTTCAAATCATGTAAATAGAATGTCTTTATTTGGTTGAGAGATCACAAGAGAAGTTTTTCAAAGATGAAGATTTCTTTTTACAGATTGTAAAAGTTACTGTTTATTTGTTCTTTGTATTTGAACGTAGACAAAATTGTGGTTGTGAACTTTTTGAATCTAACTTTTTTATTAGCAGAAAATTTATTTAGGGCCTTTTTTGAATGATAGCACCAGGTCAGACTAACTACTGAGCCGGGCCTGTCCAACATATAAGAAAGGGTACGAGTAAGGCAATATGAAAAATATACAATAACATAATGTATAATATCCAAGGGTTACGTTTTATTCTGATAATATTGCACTTTTTCTTCAAAATAAAATAACTCTATAATAGAATTGAGTTTTACTTCAAAGATACTCTATTTTTAAAGTGAAAAAATAGAAATATGAATAAAACAAAAACAATTTTAAACCTATTTTTGACTCTACTATAATGTAATAAAGAGAGTGAGTATTTTTACTCTAAACTCTAAATTTTTTAGAGTGGATAGAATGGAGTTAGAGATGTCCTAACTATTAGGAAGTCAGCATAATCGAATCTAGAAACGTTAGGAAGAGGATCATACTAAAAAAAACCAAGTCTTTGCATAAATCCCATAACCTCTTACCGATCAACACAGAACGACTTCATTAAACCAAAAGCCGTTAACTCCGCCCGCCGTAACCATCGCTTAGGTTTTTTCAAAGTTTAAACAGAATATATGGAAGAAAATGTGAAATTAAAACGCTGACGTCTCTATATTGGGTATAAGGTAGTCATACTAATGGGCCTTAAACAATCTTGTCGAGTTTTTCGGCTACGAGGTAAGAGAGTGATACACTGAAGCCATGTTTTGGTTAGACCAAAAAATTTGTTCTTTTCAGTAGTTAGGTCTACCAAACTTTTTTGTTGTTTTATAAAATAGTTAAGTTTGTGTATTTGATAAATTTAGTGAGTATTATATCAGAATTTTGTTTAATCGATAGTTGTATAATAGTTTGACAGAAAAAAGTTTGTTACATTAAATGATAAAGTGATTGAAGTTCACATGATCACTCTAGAGTCCAGAGTAGAAGACAAAAAAAAGTGGTAAAGTTGTTAAAGTAAATGAAATGAAAAGAGAAATGTAAATAATCGATCATTTCTATTGTTTTTTTTTCTGGTTCTAAAATTGGATAAGGGGCATATAATTAAACTGAATTTGATTATTACAAAAACCCCTATGTTTACCGATCAGAACTTAAATGTAATAAATGAACCAAAAAAAAAAAAAAAGTAAAGGAAACCATAAACAAAGAGAGATACGAAGCGAGAAACGGCGCCGTTTGCTAGTTCGGCGCAAATAAAAGGCTCATCGGCGTCGGTGGGAAATGATTAACCGCTGGCCATTAAGACAACGCGGCTTTCTTATAACACACAGACATCGAGACAAGACAGAGATAGAAAGAAAGTGGTCCACTATCTCTCTCTCTCTACATCAAAGAAGAATAAGAAGACAAACCAGAGCAAAAAAGAGCCGTTGAAGCGTACAATCTTTAAGGCAATCTAAACCTGCAAAAGAGAGTATCCCCTTTTCTCTTTTTCAATCTCAACATAAGAGGGAGAGCGAAAGACGAAGCTTTTGGGGTCAATGGCTGGTTTAAACGACGACGTATCAGTCGACATTGAAGAGATCTACAATGGTGGCAAGGTTTGTTAAGCTCCGAAATTTACTTTCTTTATTTGTTTATCTCTTTCCTCTTTTGTTTCCCTGTTTTGCTCTGGTTCTAATACTCTTACGGCAACTTAGAATCGTCACATCTTGTTTTGGGTTTATAGTTTTCCTAATTAGTTTTTTTTTATTGAAAGCAAAATATTCACTTTCTGATTGAAACCAATGTACTCTGAGCTGTTCTTGTCAAGGCGTTCTGGATTTAGTTTTGTGTACCCTTACTTTTATTACAAGTTGGATTTGAATATCAAAGTGGGTTTTCTCACTTAAAAGTTGTTTCACTTTTGTTTTGATTTTTCATCTGGAAATCTGTCAACTTTGGGGTGTTTGATTTATTCGATTCTACATCAAAAGGTCAAGAGAGACCCCCTTTCAAAAAATGGTATCTTTTTTTTTAATGCTCTATGATTGATATATGATGTCTGACTTTTTGTTTAGCGACAAGTTTATCCTCATGTACTGATTTTCTGAGTCTTGCACATGGGAGAATCTATTGAGAATCTTATTTATTTTCTTTTGTGTGGTCTGGAACAAAGTTGGAATGTTCCTTTCTTAGCTGTAGTAGTACCTGCTTACAAGAGAAAAAAAATAAAATTTATACTCTTAACTGTTGAGCTGATTTTGGATGAGACTAATGGTGTGTGTTTATGATAATCAAGCTTGTATCATTCTTTATTTTTCCCTTACTTTATAAAACACTGATTCATTTCATGCTTATTGTTTCGTCTTTTTGCAGGAGCATCATGTCAAAACTTGCCATGGTTTAGTTTCAGTTGTTGTCTATGGAGACCAAGAGAAACCAGCATTGATTACTTACCCAGATGTAGCACTAAATTGTAAGAGTGGTGGAAATATGCATTGGCTACATGATTTTGTATTTACTGTCACATCACCTGATGTTGGATTGTTATGTTTGGCTAGACTTGTCTTGCTTCCAAGGATTGTTTCTCTGCCCTGAAGCAGTGTCCTTGCTCCTCCATAACTTTTGCATCTACCATATTAGTCCCCCTGGACATGAGGTTTGCAAAATTGATTCTCTTGAAACAGTTTTTTTTTTTGTAAATCTACTTTGCTGCTTGCTCACGTTTTGTTGTTTCTACAAAGAGTTGTTGTAGTTTGGAGCTGCTCCAGTTTGTTCCAATGATCCTTCGCCTTCTGTTGAAGACCTCGCCGACCAGATTCTTGAAGTATTGAACTTCTTTAGGTAAAGAGTTTAATCATCTTACTCTCACAGTTTAGCATTGGCAATTGCTACTATATTCCTTAAAATGTGTATGTCTCTTTGCAGCCTCGAGTCAGTAATGTGCATGGGGATCACTGCTGGTGCCTACATCCTTTCCTTATTTGCTGTATGTTCTCGTCTAGACTCTCCTTGAGGGTTTATTTGAAGCTATAATTCTTAGAAGGTCATAAAGATTATCGTTACTTATCACTGGTTGTTTTATGGTTTTTCAGATTAAACATAAAGATCGAGTTTTGGGTCTGATTCTGATATCGCCTTTATGCAAAGCACCCTCATGGTCTGAATGGTTTTATTATAAGGTTAGTTTATAAAACTCTATAGAATGGAAAAGTTTCACACTTCATTGGCATCCAGACGAATATAGAACATGATGTTAATACTGATTCTGCAGGTAGTGTCAAACTTGTTGTACTATTATGGCATGTCTGGATTGTTAAAAGATCGTTTCCTTCAGAGGTACTTCAGTAAGGTAAATATTTCCTTGAAGAAACCCTGCATATGTACTCAATAGACATCGATTTGATATTGTTTTTTGACCACGACAGGAAGCTCGTGGTAGCTCTGAAGTTCCAGAGAGGGATGTAGTACATGAATGCAGAAGGGTCAGTGCTTAATCACAAAGTAGTTTATTTGCATGATTACGTTTTTTCTTCACCTTAACGTTCTTGTGACACTTGTGTTATCATATGATTACGGTTTGTTCAGCTGCTTGGGGAAAGACACGGTGTTAGCCTTAGGAGGTTTCTGGAAGCAATCAACAGGAGACATGACATAACTGATGGCTTGAGGAGTTTGAAATGCCGTACGCTCATATTTGTTGGCGACCAATCTCCTTTCCACTCTGAAACTCTTCACATGGTGGCTGCATTAGACAGAAAATACAGCGCCTTGGTTGAGGTAACTAAAAGCTCTTTAGCTTTATAGATTATTGGGACATGCTTTGATGTTGTTTGTTTTGAGATATTGTAGGTGCAAGCTTGTGGATCAATGGTGACAGAAGAGCAACCACATGCGATGTTGATACCAATGGAGTTCTTTTTGATGGGGTTTGGTTTGTATCGGCCTGGTCGGGTTAGCGATAGTCCTACGAGTCCACTAAGTCCGTCGTGTATTTCGCCTGAGCTTCTCTCTCCGGAGAGTCTTGGTTTGAAGCTGAAGCCAATAAAGACACGGGTTACCACGAAATGTTAAAGAAACATTGGTTCATTTTTTTCTTATTTCTTTCATATTCTTTAATTAAATTGTATTTGTTGTTGTACTCTATATGTAGTTGATTAACTCGAAAAACACTTTATGTAAGAGATGAGATGCTAGTTTAATGGGTTGGTATCATTACAAAACGTTGAAGATTTTGTTTCTAAATCTGTTACAGAACATGTAAGATGAGAACAAACTATGAAAACCAGCATTTCCTACCTTTTTACCCAAAAAAGAATCCCAAAACAATATAGAGAAGGATGAAGCAAAGTTACAAGTCTGTCGTAGTTATCTTCGAGATTTTATACAGTTTCTTCTTCGGTTCACTCCTGATCTCTCAGAAACATCTATACACATACGGAACACAATCGAGGGTATTGCCCTTTGCCTAGCTTTGAGATCGAATGTGGCTTTGATGTTGTCGTGTGCTGTTATACTGAAATATCATCAAGAATCGTGAAGAGAACCTTGGATCATTATTGATATACGCTTTGCACTCTCCGAATGATACAAATCCCCTTTAAGACCAATCTGATACAAGATGAAGAAGATAAAAGGTCTCAAAGTTGAGTTTGAGCCAAAGCTGTAGAGAGAGAGAAAAGACATTGATATTACCTCAGTTGAGCTATCGGGAGAGAACCACCGTAAGAGCACTCCTAAGTGTACAACGGCTGGTATCAACTTGAATAGAAATGGTGTCGTTACCTGCAAAAACATATTTCTACTTTAATAGTTATTAAACAAATTTTCGTTTTTTTTAAGATATGTGAAATCTACTGCAAGTTCAGAGTCTAATATTCGGTTTTAAAATGGATATGATGTACTGAACCATACCAAGCTTAACGCAGTTGTTCCCAGAAGCAGGCGATACAGTTTGCTCTGCAAAAAAACAAAAAAACAAAAAAACTCTTGATTGTTTAGAACTCCACCAAAAGCAAGTTATAATGACCAAGCTATATATATATATATTGGATCTATAATAATCAAAGAGCTTTACCTCAATTAGGTGAAGATTAGATGCTCGACTTAGCAAAACAAAAGCAAATTCACCAATCTGCGCAAGTGACATTCCAACCTATAGACAACAAAACTGTGAGGCCTCGAGAAGGTTTCGAATAATATGAACGCAGGAAAAAGAAAAGAAGGGTTCACTTCTTACAAGAACTGCAGTTTTGTTGTTGTATCCAAAGACTTTAACAACGATCGCAACTACCACAGTCTTTATCACTATCACTAGTAACACGGCTGCTACCAGAATGTCAACATGGTTCCACAAGAAGTGCATATGTATCAACATTCCAATGCTAGCAAGGAATAGTGCTGCAAAAAAATTGCGTATGGGTTCCACCTGCAAAGGGAGCAGAAACAATAAGAACGGCTATTATAATATAAAGTATATTTTTGTACTATAGGGTAGTGAATTTCATCAGGAACTCAATGATACATAAGCAACAACGACAATATTTTGAAATAAAGATCGTCCAAAGACTCAAACTTGAATTCTTACTTGTTCAAGAGTGTGCTGAGCAAGATCAGTTGTTGAGATCATCACTCCTGCAGCAAAGGAACCCAACTCAAGACTTAAACCGAGCTTGTCACTACACTGAAGAATCCAAAACGATACTGTGGTTAATGAATTCAAAATTTGAGAGGCAGACATGTGCACACATACGACAGGTAAGAAGAACAAGTGGTCAGACTCACCCAAGCGACAAGTAAGCAGAATGCTACAGCGGCTAACTGGTAGAGCTCGTTTGTCTGCCAAAGATTTGTAAAGCGCTTTAGTTGATATTTGATAAACATCCTAAAGACCAAAATAGAAGCAGGTAAAAAATGTGTGTATACCTGAGAAGAAAGGCTTGTCATAAGTTTTAGAAACCAAGGTACCCAGGTACGTGACAATACAAACAAAGCAGCCAAAAATGCAATCAAAATAGCCAACCTGGAAAGAAATTACCAGACGGACAAAAGTAATCAAGTGTCAAAAGAACAACATAACAAGTGGCAAAAAGGAAGCAGGCTTATTGTCTGGTATTTTCACAGCACTTCCTGGAGAAAAAGTACATACGATTTAGCCATGGACAACATTCCTTGAAGGACACCAGAAGTGCCACCAAGAACCGGAAGGAGAGCAAAAAGCAAACCCACAGCACAATCCTAGTTATTCATGAAACCATAAATTAAATATCAAATGAAAGTAACTGTTGCATTGTAGAGTAGGGGGAAAAATGCTGTAAATTCATATTAGATATGCTATTATTTGAAGAGCGACCAAGTACCTGAAGGATAAGAGTTCCAACGGTTATCTGACCATGAAGAGCACTTATACTATTTTTTTCCATTAAAAATTTCAAAACCTGGTACAAGAATCATGGCGAGTTAAGAATGTCACATGAGGATCAAGCCTAAAGAGCAAACTAGGAAAACATAAACGGTACAATAAAAAGAAGATAAAATACAGTGCGGGTGAGCACAAGGAGAAAATTCAAACAGTGACATTAGAACAAGATCAAAATATTATACATGCAAAAATACAAACGTGACATTAGAACATACCACCGCTGTTGATGACATTGAAAGAAATGCACCAACAAATATTCCTTCTGTTAGTTTACCGCCACATAACTGCAATGAAGAAACAGCTAAGTCAACCGAATACATTCTAAGTTCACGACGACTCATACACGAATTGTCTAGTGACTCTTTCTTAAACTCGATTGCTGCTGGCCTGCTACTATATTGAACATACCGAGGCTGTTATCCCACTCAAGCACATGAACAAAAATATCTGAAGAAGACCTCCTGGAATAGCTACTGCACGAACTACACGAAGCTGCAACCACAAAGTACAATATCTGTCTTAGAAGTTTCAATTGGTCGTAACAACGAAACCAGACAAACATAAGAGGGTGAAAACATGCAAACCTTTGCTGCAGAAAATTCTAAACCTAAAGCAAAAAGGAGAAAGATAACACCAAATTGAGCTACTGTTTCAACCTGTGCTACGCAAAAAAAAATATGAATCGAGTCCATTTACATAACCAGGCAATATGCAGACAACAAGAGAGGAACTTTAAAGCACTAAAACTGATGTAAGTTACCTGCACCATTTCACTAACAAAGCTTAACCCACCCGGTCCAATGATAGATCCAGCCAATAGATACCCAGTAATGACCTGTCATACAAGTAGTGTAGAAATTAAAATAATGGTTTCATGACCAGATCATTCCAGTGGCAACAAATACTCAAAATCTAACAGAATAAAACAGAAAGTCACAAGCTCTGCAAAGGAAGCGGGTGCTCACCGGTTGACCAGCACAAGCAAAGGCAATCCCACCACAAGTAGCCGAAACAATGACGACAACCAGATCTGATATCAGCCTAATGTACCGTTAAAGAGAGACATCCCCAACAAAAAAAAAAAGAGTTAGCTAGATTCTTACAAAATATAGCCGAAAAGAAAAAGAATTACCCTTAGGAATGCTAAACTTACCTTAAATCAAGCTGCAGTACAGGGTACTTGGATTTTGGATTGGACATGATAAAAACGTTGTCCTGGATTGGAATTGCAGAAAATTCACATTACGGGAATGTCATCACAAACGGGTACATAATAGACGTATATTGTTTCTTCAGCAATACATAGTACACCAATTAAAGACTAGGTAAGTTTACCTTCCTATCAATCAGTCTTGGAGTATCTTCAACGCCATTCTCGTTATCCAAATTAAAGAAGGATCTAAAATAAAAGGCAGGCATATGTTATAGTTTGCTTTAGCCTGTGAAAGAAAAGTAGATAAACAGCCACTACATGGACTCCAAAACAGGGTAAAAGTATGAATCATAAAATGAAGACTCACTTCTCCTCCTTGGTCTTGGTCTCATTTTTCTTGGGCTTAACTCGAGCAACAGTCTCCAGAACAGCCTAATGAGAGCAAAACAAATGGCTTAATAAAAAAAGAAAGACCCATTGAGTAGTGTTCATAAGGCCAAAACTAAACAAAGATAAAAACTTGGAATGAACGAACCTGCTGATCAGCAACACTATTATTGAAGCTTCCTGGATCAGGAACTACAAAAATCAAAACAAAAAAGAGGCACTTCACAAACAGCACATTCAAAGATTCCAATGACTCACACAATCCATTGATCCAATGCTAGAACCCATTAGAAGATCTATGAACCAAAAAAAAAGCTGATCTTTGAAGACAAACAAAAAACACTCCAGCTCCAACAAGGAAGATTGGAGATCTAAATAGACGAACCATCATTCTGGTCATTCTCAGGAAACTCTTTCTCAAGTGCACGATCGATCATATCCGCGAAACTGTCCTCCTTAGGTTTCGCGTTCGTCGCATTGGACTCAGTTGCGGTTCCGTTCATCTCAAATGTGTCATTCCCGATTTCGGAAAGAGCAAGAGAGAATCCACAGATCAGAAGAAACGCCACAAACCTCATCCGTTTTACTCGGAATAATTTGTCAGTTTTAATATTACACCGCCGCATCTCAGTGATTGTGGCGCGGCGGAGCGATAGAGAGAAAGAGAAAGAGAGAGAGAGAGTGTGTGTGTGTGTGAGAGAGAGAGATTGATTTTCCCTCGCGTGTGTTGTTTCTTCTTCTTCTTCTCTCTCCTTCGGGTGGTTGGAGAACGAGAAAGCAGAAAGATTGAGGGCAAATTAATTTTCTCTCTCCTTTTTTTCTTCTTCTTCTTTAATAAGTGATTTATTAATATTTTTAAAAATCTTTTTTATTTTCGTTTGTTTGCTTAAGGGCTAATGCAAATCCCTTCGAATTTGGAGACCAAAGTGTATGGCAAGGATAACTGAATTCTTCTCATACTATATTTACAAAGTTAAAGATAGTATTAAATCAAATCCCATTAATAAAAGAGATTAGGCTTTGGACATTTCAACTTTTATTTAATTTCGGTTTGATTGAAATGTTTGGTCTTCGATTTGTTATTTTGGAGTATTTTTACCAAACTAGGTGTTTTTCGCATATCAATCAAATATAGGGATAAAATTATTTTATAATTATTTATTAGTATATATTATCAAAAGGGAAATTTGGAATCATATCTACAGTGGAAGGAAAATAAAATAGAGTTCTATACAAATGTTGTTGAACCTTTTTAAATGTTTCTTCGGACATCGTACCTAATTTTCAGATTTTCTATGTACTAGTATTATAGTTCCATGCTAAGTACGAATTGATTTTTGCTTGCATTTAAAATATCATACTTAATCTATTCATTTTTTATTTCTATCTGTTTTTAATGACTTCTGAATTCTGAACTATAAATTCCTATAAGGTTGATATAATAAAAAACTATTATTAAACAGATACGTAAAGTATATAATTTTATGTAAAAAAACTTAAAGATAGTCGAGTATGCTCTGTTATAACAAACGGATTTTTAAATTGTCAAACCATAACAATCAAATTTGTAAATACACAATTTGCATCATCATAGTTGTTCATACTTTTTCCCCTCGGTATAGTGTTTGGTACTTTGTTATTGTTTTCCACATCTTTAAATTTGAACGCCCCATCACATCAATGTTATTAACCATTGGATAAAAAATTTCAGCGCTACAAAATAAAATATATACTAGGTGATTTTCCCGTGCTCATGCACGGACATGTATATTTATAAAAATAAATATACAATAATAATTGATTGATATTTACTTTAATTTTAAACTAATTTATAGTTTGTATGTCTAATTTATATTATACTATTATATTACTTTAATTATATATATAGTTTTAGATATGTTATATTTAGTTTATTTTATTTTTTTTACGGTCGATTTAGTTATCATTTAGATATATTGGATCCTATCAATTTCTCTGAATTCAACTATAATATTTTATATTTTAAATATATTAATTTTTTGATTAATTGTCTTATTTGCATTTATGTTGGTTGTTATCTTAGAAATATAAGTTTATTTAGTAAGATTATATATAACTTAAGATTTTTTTGTGTTTAGAAGGAAAAAAAATAAAAATTAAAGTGTCTGATTCTAAATTACATACATAAGTAACTAATGAATTTTTAGAAGTTTTGCACACATATCAATATTTACAATAATTAAAATATTTTATAAATTCTAAACAAATTTATGCTTTAGATTGATTTGATGGTAAACTGAAATTTATTTTAAATAATTTAAAATAATCAACTAACATAAACTGATATATAATGTTATGAAACTTAACATTTTATTAACTTTCCTTTTTTTATTAAACGAAAATATAAGTACACATATCAATATTTACAATAATTAAAATATTTTATAAATTCTAAACAAATTTATGCTTTAGATTGATTTGATGGTAAACTGAAATTTATTTTAAATAATTTAAAATAATCAACTAACATAAACTGATATATAATGTTATGAAACTTAACATTTTATTAAATCACCATATTTTATGAAACTTAACATTTTATTACTTCAAAGGTATATTTTATGTTATTTAAAATATATTTAAATTAAATATTACTATTTTGTGAACTTTCCTTTTTTTATTAAACCATATTATATATACTTATATTTTATTTTTTAAATATTTTTTTAAATTTTATAAATGTTTCCTTTTTATTTTGTATTGTTATTTGGAAATTTTTAAAAATGAAATAATATTTAATTGTATTTTTAATTCATAAGGGGTATCATAGTAATCAATCAGCGTGAGAGTTAACGTGAACGCGACACCTAAGAAAGTGACTTCTCAAATAATATTATAGAGATTTTTAAGAGAGATTTAGTGAAATACCTTTATTTGAAGTTAATATTAGAGATTTGCCCATGATTTGACATTATAAGTCAAAAACATACAATTAAAGCTTGATTTGTCCAAAATAACCTTGTAAAACATTAAATTTTTCTTTTCCTTCTCACAGATTTTTTTTTTCTTTTTCTAACACTCCCTCTCACTCTTTTTCTTTCATTCGTTAACATTCAATTTACTCTCTCAAATGTTTTTTTCTTCATTTTTTCTCAACGATAACACACTCTTTTTTTATTTCCACTTCTTTTCTTTTTAAATTCACTCAGTTCGATAGAGAAATTGAAACTTCAACAATATAAATTTTTACTTATAATACATAACAATGTATTGACATCTACAAATTTATTAACAGTTAACACATCTGGTTACACCTATAGTACATGTTTTTTTAACAGCTAACACAAATGTTAACAGTTACAAAAATTGTTAACAGTTATTGCTTTTGTTAACACATCTGTTAACATTTACAAAATTTGTTAACAATAAATATCTCTGTTAATACATCTGATACATGTATTTGTTAACAGTTAACACTTTTGTTGACATCTACATTATTTGTTAGCAGCTAACATAAGTGTTAACATGTGATTTTTAAAAAAAACTTCAATGCTGATTTTTTCAGTATGTGGTGAAATTAAAATAATTTAGATTCATAAGAATAGTAGTAAAATAGTAATAAATTTTTCGCAACAGTAAATTTTTACACAAAAAAAAAGTTATTAACATGATAAAAGAGTTTGAGAATGAGAAAGAAGAGGAATCGAAGGAAAGAGAAAGAGAGGTTGTGGAGAGAGAGAGTGTGTCAGTACACATAGATTGTGTCAGGAGAGAGAGTCACATGCATGTAAAAGGAAGGGCAATATGGTCATAAAAAATATATCAGTCCCATCATGAGCAATCGCCTAATATTAGGTTCAAAAAGGATATAGATTTTTAAAGAGCAAGAGAGAATTATTCATAATAGAAATAAAAATACACTTGTTTTCAGAAATGGCTCCTTCATTTTGTTTTGTCTGTAATTTGTACTTATATTTTGCTTGATCATATATTGGCCTGGCAATACTTCTTGTTAAAGCCTAATTTTTCTTTTGTTTCTTCTCTATTTCTGTTTTTGTTGGATGCAAGCAAGAAAAATAGTTTCCTAAAATATGCCATAGAAAAAACAGATTGCTAAATACCAATTTTATAAACAATAGAGTTGGAGATACTAATTGTTACTTTTGTTTTTTGACAATGCTTTAAAGACATGAGTCGACTCAACACTCAGATGCCATATTCAACATGAAAAAAGAATATTACTTGTATGAATATTTTTTTTTTTGCAAAAGAAGATCTGAATGTAAGAGAAAAACAAAAAAAAAATGAAGCAATTCAGAAGAAAGAAAGATGAAGGTATAAAGGCAGTTTTAAATTGTGATTTTATTTTTTGAACGTGGTGTTTATAATGGGAGAAAATTTAGGAATGTAGCTGTATTTGAAATTGTTGAAAGCTTGGAATTTAAATTAAGATTTTTTAGGAAGATAATTTTGTACTAAAATATTTTTTAAAAATTTCTTTCCACATGTCAGTTTTTGATTCGTCAGATGACTGGAGCTTTAGTATATAAAGGATTCTACAATAGTTATGTCCGTTCTATATATTATCATTGATTATATAAAATAAGTTTCAACTGCTTACGCAGCAGTTATATTATATATGGGTCTGTTATAATAAATTGTGCCAGTTGAAATCTCCATACAGTTCAAAGTAGTTTCATGTGTTTCTTCTGTTGAGTTATAATATATTCGTCCAAACTATATCAGAAAATGCCCAGCCCCAAAAAACTCGGTTCGGGTCCAGAATAGATAATGCCATTTTATCTCATTAGGTTTTGCTATGGAGGACTTGCAGGTCTTAGACCCGACCTAATCCGAACCCGAGATCCGATGGATACCTGAAATACCCAAAATTTCGAGTATATGTTAGGTAGAGAAATTCTCTTGGATAATCCAATTCGTTGATAAGAATTTTTTACAATCCTATCAAAGTAGTATAAAGGATGTCAATCCAATCATAATCATTTTGAAGCACAAATAATACAAGTACTAGCAAAGTTAATGCAAAACCTAAACTTTAATTCAAATAGAGAAAAAATAACTCATGAGCATAGAAACTTGGTTTTAGGTGACTAAAATCCAATCTAAGAGTGGCAAACTATCAATCAAATTCTTTCCTTAAGTCTAATGGTCCAACTGGTAATGACTGTAGCTTTAAAAAAATTGTTGTAGAAAAAAATCTGTAGACTTTTCTATAACTTTATATTTTATTGCTGTAAAATTTTATAGAAAGTGCAAAAAATTTACTAAGGAAATTTGACTCTACAAAAATTTGTATAACTGCAGGTTATTTCAAGAATGATAGTTTTTGAAAAGAATGATTAAAGCTTGATTGTTGTTAATTTAGAGGGTGAATTGTAACAACTGTGGGAACGGTACATAGCACCATATAAGTTTACAGCACTAAATGTAAAGCAATCAAGATTTATAATTTTTTTTTATGTTCACAGCAATTTGTAAAATATACGTATCTTTAGTATTCTAGAAAGCAAATTATCTACGGGTTTTTTTTGTGAGCTTTTTTTTTTAAAAAAGGAATATTTCATTTAACTTTTTATTCAAAATATAAGATAAACACTAACCAAACCTAAGATAAACATTGAAAGCCCTAACTGTAAACATATATAATACTACCTACTAAACGTAAGACATGCAGAAAATCTAGAGAATAAAGGGTTAAGAAGAGGCCAAAAATCCAAGTATGTAACCCATCTCTTCGTTTTTTTTAATTTTCATTTTCAGTGTCTTGTCTTCTTTTATATTAT